GTTCATATCCTTTTGGAGGTTGGATTTTTTTTAAAATTAGAGACTGATTTTTGTAAGGAACACACGTCTTTTGCCAAGGCACCCTTTTGAAGTATTTTATTTTTTCGAACATCGATCGATCTTTATAATGTGGGTACCATTATGAAGGTGCTCATAAAGAGGCACTGCAAAAAATACCATACACTGCAATAAGTGGACACATTGCAGATGAAATTAAGAAAAAGTGAGCTGCATAATATACACTGATTCTAGATACTCCTTTTACACCCACAACTACATTTTAATCTTGACATTAGCTATATACAGCTTCCATAACATGCGGCCCATCCTCCTACATGCCAAGTGTTAGGGTTGATCTTCACCATTTGCCATTCTACACTCTTAACCTGAAAGGTTCATGTTCATTCACACAGGTTCTTTTGTAAATGCAAAAACATTAATATTATGATACACATATGATTGTATATATGTGTATCATAATATTAATGGTACATAATTCTTACGGTGGCTCGTTTTTTACCTTTCCCCGTATATTCTTACGGTGGCTCGTTCGTTACCGTCAACTATTCATTACATGAATGAAGTCAATTTCTGGCAACTAAAGAGCTCTTGACAAAGAATCTTTAATCCTTAGAGATTCTTTGTTAAGAGTTCGTAAAGCGCTACATATTTTGCAGTTTTAATGAGAAAGCTCTCCAGGTGCCTACCAGGAGCGCCGACACAAAATGCAGATTTATCTGTTTTGCATTTTTGGCCTTGTTGCCCTATATAAATACGATTTATTTCTTGACGTTTCTTAAAGCTTAATCATAGATTTTTGAGTTAGCCTGTATATATAACAGAAAGATGAATTTTACTTTGTCGATGCATGTGACAGATGATCCCCTTAAGATGGGAAGCTTAGCAAAGTTATTCATATGTCGTAATGGAAATTAAAAAAAAAATATTATACAGTCAAAAGTCTTTAATCCGGACTCGTCGGGACTTCGGCGATTCCGGATTATCGGTTTTTCCGGATTATAGATCATCAGTTTAAATCTGGTAAGATGGCATGCAGAAATTATAAAATTAAAAATATGAAACCGTAATTTATGAAATAAAGAGCAATTATGATCTAAAGGGTATCAAAATTTACAAAAAAAAAGTTTAATTTTTATTTGTTTATTAAACATTTCTTTCAACGCGCACATGCCTAAAGCATACATTACGCATAGTCGAAATTAGAAAATTGCAACCAGAAAACTATTTGATGTGTATTCGTGATATTTATAATGACGAGGAATTTGATTTAAATCATATCAAAGACGGAGTACATCGAGATGAAATACTACATTTAGTAAGGAATTATAAGCCGAATAAAATAAAAACATCTGCCTTGAAGATAAGGATAGTGCTGACAGATCAACTTCCAGTTCATTGCGCCGCCGCGACCTTTCTCCCCCCCGAGAGCAGCGTGAAATTGATAAACAGATTCGGAATGGTTAGAGAAACAAAGGATATGCCTTTATCCATTTTTTGCAGCAATTCCACTTTTTGTTTGATGGACATCGAAACATGCTTTCGCTTTGTAGATCCTTTGGCAGCTCCAGAATCGGAAATTCTTTTTGACATAATCGAAAGTTCAAGCTTAGTTTTATAAAATTGCTTTAACAGTCTGCAAAAAATAATAAGCCGGATCCAATTAGAAGATTAAGGAACAACGCAATCTGCAACATTAACTGAAATAGATAATTTTAGCTTAGCTTATACCGTCCGTTATACATTAAACGCGCATGCGTAAACGTATATGCGCATAATACCTTTGCGCAATTGCGTTTACGCATGCGCCGAAAGTTTGTAGCTTTGACGTCCGGATTAAAGGCTTTTGACTGTATCATATTGCTATGGAACATGACTCCATATTAATTTAATTTACTGAAAAACAAGTCTAGAAAAAATTAATCATTATTAATAGGAAGAGTTGTAAGGTATTTCTTTCTCTTTAAGGCGGTCCTTAGTGGTATAATCGGAAGCACACCCCACTAGCAATCAGAGGGCCGGAGTTCGAAACTCGGCGAGGACAACACATATTTTTCCTGCCTGTTGGCTCCCGAACTAAAATGTGGGTAGACTGTAATTTGTCAATATCAGGATTTAGCAAATGTGTCTCCACCTTCCTAGTCGCCCTTGAAGTGGGAGAGAATGTAAGGAATTTTTTCCTTTATTGCCGAGCGCGCCTTCGTGGTGTAATTGGAAATAAATCCTGCTAGCAATTGGAAATTAGTGTGTTGCATCTTTTTCATATCCTGCCTAGGCAAAGGTGTAGAGGAGGGGCAGAACATACAGGCCACTGATTAAGGGGTTGCCTCCGAAGAACCTTGATTTTTTAAGCATATGTTAAAAAGGACGAAGCTAAAAAGTTGTCTGTATTGCGAGAATCAGTTCCTAACTTACATTTGCCGCTTAAGATTTTTTTACAGTGTATGTTTCAGTTGCTCCTTGCTAGAGAAGTTTAACGAAGTTGAAGTTGATTAAAAGCTATCTTCCATCAACTATGTGCTAAGATTTAATGGTTTGGCAGTCTTTTGCATTGAAAATAAATACAGTAGCAAAAAAACATTAATGAATTTTTGACGAAGCTATAAACAAATTTTCAGAAGTCAAAACTCACTAAAAACAGTTATAGCTTTTTTTTTTTTTTTATTCACAGAAAATTTAACATTTTTTAAATCATAAAAATGGCTGATTAATAAGACTTTTTTTAATATAAATTTATCTGCTTAATGTAAATTATTTTTTCCTTAATCTTAAGACTTTTGTTTTCCAAATCAATTCAAATATTTAATTTTATTTAAATAAATGTTATTTATATATTTGTGTTGACATTTTATATGGTGATTATTATAATAAGGGGTGGAGGGGCTAGTGAGATTTCCATCCTGAGCCTCAATAACTAGGTCTGCTACTGCAGATAGGATTTTGCATGTTTGGCATATTTCTTGCTTTGACAAACCTAATGATTTTAGAAAATTACATTTTATGTTTGTACAGCTCTTCCATCCTTAGAACGGTCAATTTACTAAGCATAAAAACCTATCTCAAACATTCTGTGCATGTGTATTTTTATATGTTATGTAAGCTAATAGGAAATATTTAATAATGGAAATTTCCCTCATTCATAGTCAGTTTAGAATCCACAAAAGACAATAGGAGTGTTATAAATAATGTACATAAAGAAAAATGCGTAATATATTCTAAAAAAAATTGAGAAGGAAATTGCAGATATGTGAATGTTGAAATAAATATCGATAAACAAAACAACAGTAAACTCAAATTTATGCTTATTTTAAAATCGAATGATAGAGTTAAAAAAAATATATTATCTCTGAAGAGTAAGATTACTTATACTACATTAAAAGGCACCATTAGCTTTATTTATGACTTTTCACTCATTAAAAAAAAATTAGAATTTTATTATCGGGTAAAGAAGCTAATGGGATAAATGAAGCTAACAGAATTATATATATGTTGTCCTCTATTGAAGACATATGTGTTATTTCGTTCCATTGACTAATCTTAATTTTCATGTTGTTCTTATATATGAATTTTAAATTAAGAGTGTATCTGTGTCCCTTTTTTTTTTCCAGGGCAGGGAAGCATCTTTTATAAAATTATAAGTATGCAATATTTACTATTGAACAGGAAATGAGAGCTGTATGAAAAACTACCACAAAAGGGAAATTAAATTTTTTGACAGGATGAAATATAAAATACTTATCAACAATTAAAGTCCTTGTTAATAATATTTAGCTGAATTTTAAATATATATATATATAATTTAATGAATAAAAATTGAAGCTAACACAATTAAAATAATAAATTAAAAAATTTATTTACATGCATACAATTTTATATTAAATACACAGATAATTTTCCTACCATTACAAAAAATAAACAGATGATTATTTCTTTCTCATACACTCACAGACAGGAATAAAGAATTATTTTATTAGAGTTTTGAAATAACAGCAGTTCCCCCCCTTCCTTTTAAATTCAACAACTTTTAAAATTACAGTGATTTTTATTAAAACATAATAAATATAGTTTGATTAAATATTCCTTTGACAAATATTTCAACTAATATTACATAGCTCATATTAAATGTCTCTACTATTGAAATAAAGGATCTTTCTCAAAAATTCTTTTTTATATATAGACATATAATTATAAATGTATCAGTTCACTTCTTCTATAATTATATTTTGTGAAAATATTCTTAAACTATTAAAAAGAAAGAAATTTCCTTCATTTTAAAATGGTTATGAGATGGATTTGAATGTAATGATGACAAAGAAGACATTTTTTAATAATAAAAAAGAGAAAAAAATCTAAAATAGCTTAAACATAGACACCTTGGAAAAAAATTATAAATATTAATAAAAATAAAAATTTTCACAGCACATCATTTTAGCACAAAAAAATCTATCATTAAACTTTGCATACAGCCACTTTACCGAGATCTTCATTTCAGTATAAAATACATAAATTTCATCTTTCATTTCCTATTTATCTGTTTTGGTATTTTCTAATTTAAGAAATTTTGTCTCAAATCACATTTCATCATGAATCATGATGCATTAATTCTAGATTCAATGGCAATTACTTTCACAGAGCATATATAAATTGAACTATATGCTATCAATTTCGTATGAAGGCTTTCCATATGAAAATGAAGTAATAACACATAAGCTAGAATTTTAATAGTAACAGCACTGTGAGACATTACAGTTGGCTTACTGTAGGAACTATCCAGCAATGCAATCATTACCATACTGTTACATCCAATGATGCAATACATTTGCTTATCATCTGATAAGCTTGCTTTAAAATGATTTCATTGAAGGACACTATAAGTCAGTGTATTGCCATCTAGCAACTGAAAATTGGTATGCAGGTTTTATGGCTTAATTGTCTGATTTATCAAGATTTAGGTATTAAGTTTTTTATTTTGTTTAATGTTTCTTTTTAGAATGTTGTTTGGTTTGCTTGATTCAGCCATTTGCCCTGGAGTTGTTGACCTTGGGTGATTACAGCTTAATGACACTACTAGAATGATGCTGACAGCAGGATGAATAATTTTGTTGCATAACTTAGCTGACAGCTCCTCCATATATACTAGTCTGCTGTTTCTGCTCACTAAATCAGCTGGAAGCGTTAAAAATTATAAACATGAAACAATTTGCATAATAATTACAAAATAGAATTGTAATAAATTAATTTATATTTTTAGTTCATTTATTTATTGAACAAAATAAATGTTAAAGTTATTAAAATGCAGCACTAAATTAAAATATTAATAACACTTGTAGTATAGTATAAAAACACTGATGCTACAAATGCTAAATTAACCGAGTACTGGGACTTTAAAGTGACTTATAATGCTAGGTTAGGCTTTTTGAATGCATTTTAATTAGGAAGTGACTGATAATACTAGGTTAGCTTTTTGAAAGCATAAATTCATATCATACATAGAGAAAATTATGAAAAACGTCCATGTAGCCAGTCTATTTGGCATGATACAGAAGCAATAAACATGTTTAATGATAAAACTGAAATGAATAAAAATATTAATGAGGTTAAATTTATAATTTTGTTGTTCTTTTGCATTTCAGTTAATATTTCTATCGTAAAAACTGTCCGGCTTAACACTGTCCACTTTCTCTTTGACAAAAATGAACATTATTCTCAATAATGACAATTTGAACATTAATTGTGAATTATAATAAATTTGCTAGCTGCTGTTCTATTCATTCACAATAATAATGGCTTGAGTAAATTTCTGCGTTTATTTTATTTATGACCTCCCAACATTTTTTTTTTTTTTTTTTTACTATGCTTTATCCTATAGTTCCAATTTGAGGTAACATGGTGCAAATATCCAGAGTTTAACTGTCATAATAACAGTACTATTTACAACTGAAGCCAGCAAGCACATATCAATAAAATTTCAGTTATATGTAGAAATAATTTATAAGCAAATAAATCTTTATCATTTGGCCAATCTCAATTCAACAAACTAATTTTTCATAACCTTTTTTAGTTTTCTTTATTCTGCAGATAATCAAAACCATTATTAAAGAGCGATTACTGTACATGATTGTTAAGAAATATATCACATTTGCATTCTTCAGCTTTGCTACTTTTTAACTTTAACAAGCTAATATTTAAGTACTAAAATATAATACAGTTATATCTCTGAAGTTATGTGATAGGTGCAACTAATTAATGAAAGTTCAGACCTTCCCAGTAGTAGTCAGGATGTTATTTAATTATTACTGTTTTGTTATTGGGATCAGTTTCAGAAATGTACATATGTATGCATGTGTATATGTATATATATATATGCATGTATGCACTTACACACACATACATCCATCCATTCATCCATACATGCATATATACATAATTCTGAATCTTGTCCTGATAACAGAAGAATACCTATTTATCTTGCATACAAAACAATGCATATGAATTTAAGTTAAAAAGAACCAGTGGCTAAAAATGCACTTGTTTAAAAATATTATACATTTCATAAGAATTTATCAAATTTTCTCATTCGCATAAAGCTAATTTAAATTTAAATTATGAAAATTTAATTGTATACAAGTAAAAGATTAATTATTGCTGTGAACTAATTTTCAGAATGTATAATTCCATTCACTTTTTTTCAACCAAAGAATGAAAGTAACAGCACTGTGCATAAAAATGTAGAACAACTGCATTGTTAACACAATTAATAACTCAAGTGCTGTTTTGAAGAAAAGTATGGGATTTCTAGAGCAATTAGCATAAATTATTAGACTTTGATGCTACTTATTTTATTAAAGCTAATTCTTATGTATAGACACAGGTTTTGTTCACCAGCATTTTATGAATTATTCACAATTTCAAATACAAATTAACTACAGGTATAAATGTGTGAAATAAAATAAGCAGCCTTATTAAAGCAGACAGAGCCTTGCAATATTTAAAAGTTACATGTTACAAAATTGGCAATTCAATCAGCTTATTTTGTTATGGTGGCCACTTTAATATACAAGTGTCACCTGTATATATTCTAATATATTTTAGGAGCATTGAGCTTAATAAAAAGTTGTATTTTACCTTTCTGGTCCTTCTTCCCTACATAAATTTAGCATCTGAGGTAGCTATTTTATTTTACAAAAGGTAGAAATAAATATAATAGAGCTTTATTTTTCAATTGCAATTAACTCCCGATAACGATTTACGAAAATATGAACTAATTATGATTTGCGATTTTTTTTTGGGGGGGGGGGGTCATGCAACTACCTTATTTTACAAAAGGTAGAAATAAATAGACTAGGAAACGTAGAATAAATAGAATAGAGCTTTATTTTTTTTCAATTGAAATGAACTCCCGATAACGATTTGCGAAAACATGAACTAATTAGGATTTGCGATTTTCCAACTTTCATTTTGTCTTACCGTGAACGTTCCGTAAACAGAATAGAGCTTTATTTTTAGCATTATCGGGTGTTAATAACGATTTGCGAAAATATGAACTAATTATGATTAACACCCGATAACGATTTGCGAAAATATGAACTAATTATGATTTGCGATTTTCCAACTTCTATTTTGTCTTGCCGTAACGTTTCCTAAATTTATGTAAACAGAAAAAATCCCTTTTCGTCCTTCAGGGAAATTCCCTGAGTGGGTTGCAGGTTTGTAACGCTTGTCAGGGTTACCATCATCTGGCGCACACACACTCTTCCGAGATGTCAACAAATCGCCAAGGGCCGGTTATCTGAAAACTGCCCTTCGTCCTGATTAAGCACTTCTGTTCCATAAAAGTTCTAGCATAAGCATAAATCGGCTAGCAGATTGTTGGAAATTTTGAGTAAAAAAAAAAAAGAAACATGCCTTTACTTTGTGAAAACAAAATGGCGTCCAAACAAAAACTAGCAGGTCGCTAACTTTTCGCCAAAAAATCACCAAGTTACCATAATCCAAAGTGTTTCTAAGTGCTTATTAGCTGAAAACACGATTGGAATTTTCAGGAAAATGTCACATGACCTGTCTCAAGATCTCTCATTTCTCAAAGACAAAATAATCTGTCATTTGAACTGTGTACTTCTCATATTATTGCTAAAGTCCTACCTAGTAACCTTTATCGCCTTACCAAAATGTCACCAAACTACCTGTTACCATATTCCAACGATTAGCCAATACATTACTCTTAGGAAAAGTATTTATGATTGTGACAATAAATTTTAAGAATATGCACTTTTTATTAATAATATTTTTAACAAAATTTTGGCTTTTACAATTGATTTCATTAATAACTGAAATGCATTATGATGAAAATCTTTTCATTATGTTATAATGTTAAAAAAAAGTATTATTTCTGTACAAAGACTGGCAGTTTAAGTTATACATTTTTGTCAAGTGTATTATAAATTAATTGCAAAAAGTTGTAAAACATAAAAAAAATATTTACTGTCCAATATCAAGCACTTCATTTTCAGAACTTTCCTCACTAGAAGCATTTTCGGATGACTCTTGTGCCAGCGGCGAATTCAGACCCAACTGAGCACTATAAAAAACAGTTGAAGAATCAGAGCTACGTACAGCTAATACCGTAGATGAAATGCCACTGTCCTCAATCCGATTTTTAAGATCCTGAATAGTCAAAGTTCTTACACTGTTAAGAACAGATACTGCTTGTGTTTTGGATGATTCGGTACGCTTACCAATCAAATACGGCTTATTACGAATTTCATCGTACCGTATTTCATGCCAATTCTTCTTCAGACGCTTCAACATTTTCTTTGCCATCACTTTTTCCACTTCATTCATATCGAATTCCTAATAAAATCTGCAAGCAATAAACAGTCTTTGAAGAAACAGTCCCTATTGGATATCATGCGTAAAGAAAGTATTAGTTATGACAATGACTTATACTTAAGTTGGCCTTGGTAATGATAACCTATAATCATGTAACTTTGTTTGCTAACAGTGGCGCCTTCCAATGAACTGACAGACAGACAGACAAAGTAGACAGATGTCTTTTGTTGCACCCGTTAAGTCTTTCTGCCCCGATGGGCGAAAAATCAAGCATAGGTGCGAAGGAAAGGTATATAGAAAGGGGGGCAATTTTGTATTTCAGAGGAGAGTAAAAAGGAACTTCGTATATTTTATACGAGTTCGAAAGGCCAGGAAGAAAAGATGGGACAAAAAAAAAAGTAAAAAATAAATGGCCCAAAAGTAATGGAAAGGAAAAAAATGTTATTTATAATTAGGAAAAAAAAAAAAAAAAAAAAAAAAAAAAAAGGGCCTATAGAAAGAAAAGGAAAGGAAGTAAGAAAATTTTGTTAAAAAAAAAAAAAAAAAAAGACCCACGATTGTGTCCATGAGTGTAGTCAAAGGAAGTTTTTATCATTTACATTAAATAGAGTCTTCCAGGTGTGTGTAATGAGTGTGTTTTGCAAAGCTGAATAGATGTGAAAGATGGGGGAAAATTAATAATAAAATAATAAATATTGGGGGTCCAGTCACATAACACTATAAGTCTAGTTTAGAAGCTAAGCTAACTTATGCTATAACAGGGAAACAAAAATTTAAAAATTTTTAAATTAAACTTTTATTTTTTAACATGGGAAACAATATGTTTGCCTCTACCTTGAGACACAGTAAAACAGAAGACACATAAGATCAAACTACATATAATATCATGCAAATTATACATTAACTTAAGTAACATCATCTATTGCGGTATCCAACATATTCATATATACTCGGAAAAACATCAGATAAAATCATAAATCTAAAACAAGGCGAGAACACATGAGCAAAAATAAATAAGTAAATAAAATACAGTGTTTTTTATTTTAATATTAATTAATTTTTTTAAATAAGCATTTATTTATTTATTAAGTTAATGGTCATAATTTATTATATGTGTACTATTTTATCAATTTGAGGCAACTGTATTAATAAATGCTTTTAATTTTAATTACATAGGAAATATAGATTTAAGAAGGAGCAAAAACTACAAATTTATACATTCATTGAGGCCAAAAGAGATCGTGTTTTGCCTCTCAAGAAATTCTTCAAAGGGGCCCCAATTGGTACTCTAACAGACTACACTACTGATAAGGATAGCGTCCCTACAAGATGTAACAAAAAAAAAAAAAAAAAAAAACAAAAAAAAGAACCACATGATTTAAAGCAATTGCTAAGTATTTAATGCCAGAACATATTAAAATGAGCATAATAATTATGATCATAATAAATAAGTGAATTTAAAGGTACTTTAGTGACAGATATTTGATTTAGCTTAGAGAAAAGAAGTTCTACTTATCTGAATGTTCCGTCTTGGTGTTGTTAAAGATTATAAGGAAGATAAGACCTATAGATTCAGGAAATCTTTCGGTTTTGAGAACGAGACAATGTAAAGGATATTCGCGAAAATTTTTCTTAAGTAGATGAGCATTATTTGAAAAAACTCTTTGAAAATTTAGGAGCTCTTCTAAGATCCTGCCTCCATCGTACGTGATCACCACTATATCGTCCAATGAACTGACAGTACCTGAGTATTCATTGGGCGAATCCAAGCAAGGCCAATTCATACTCCAAGCAAGGCCAACTCTATAAGTGGGCCTTGATCCAAGTGAAACGTTTATCATTTCATTTACAGTTCTAACAAGCATTTAATAACTTTCACTACATTTTAAAATAAAACCACATATATTATTGTCGCTAGTCTTTTATGGTAGCTCATATGCAAAACAAACATTCTTCCCTTTAGTTTTCAAACCAATTTACGATTTTTTGAAAAGGCATGGAAAGAAAATGAAACTTTCCTGCATTTATTCAAAAGCATTATTTACTTTTACACTCTACTATAGAGTCGGTGTCAGTTGCAGTCGTTCTATAATTTAACCCTCAAAGTCACAGAATTGACAATATATATATATATATACTGTTCAGATGCTCCCACGAAAAGAAATCTACACTCGTTAAATCTGGCCATTGGACTTGTCCGCCACGCCCAATCCATCATCACACAAAATTCGCATTAAAGTCATACCGGATCACCAGATCGTAATGGGCTGGCGCACCACCTTCGCCTTCGGGTGATGATGTACAGTCGGTCACAAAAGTATTCGAACACCGGTACCCTATCAGAAAATGACAAGATGGCGTTTTTTTCTCTTTCTCTCTGTGTGTCGTGTTATTCCATCCTAGGTTTTCTTCCCCCCATCTTGGAAAAAACTGGAAAAAATTGGTCACGATCTCTTTTTGAATGGGGAGATGCCATTTTGAGAAAAAGCTGACGACCCTATCTTGGAGAATGAACATGACCGCTCTACACACCCTTTCTCTCTCTCTCTCTTTGAATTGGGAAGCCATTTTGGGAAAATGCAGACGACCCTATCTTGGAGAATGGAAATGAACGCCTCTCCCTCTCTCTTTGAAATGGGAAGCCATTTTGGGACCCTCTATTCTTGGGGAGGGAGAAAACTGAAGTCTGCATTTCGCTGTCTCTGAATACGGAAAGCCCTTTTGGGAAAAGCGGACCCTCTTCTTCTGATCTTGGAGAACTGGAAATGAACGCTCTACACGATCTCTCTTTGAATTCAGAAGGTATTTTGGAACCTTCTAATGTTGGAAAACTGAAATGAACGCTCTACACCTCTCTCTCTCTTTCTCTGAAATGGGTAGCCATTTGAAAACTCCCTAACTTTGGAAAAAAACAGAAATGAACGCTCTACACCATCTCTCTTTGAAAATGGGGGGGTGTCATTTTGAGACCTCCCTCCCCTAAACTTGGAAAAAAAAAAACTGAAATGAACGCTCTACACTTTCTCTCTTTGGACATGGGTAGCCCTTTGGGGACCCTCTCCTCTTGGTAGGAAAAAAAAAAGAACTGAAGTGAAGGCTCTACACAATCTCTCTTGGAATGGGATCCATATTTCGGGAAACGTGGATCACCTCATGCTGGAAAACTGAAGTGAACCACCAAGATTGGACTCTATATAATATTTTTTTTAATTGACATCATGACCCTCCTCCAATTTGTTATTAAAAAATTGTTTTTTTTTGTTTTGGTTTTTATCCCATTTCCGATGTGATTTCAGAAATGCAATTCCATAACAGTTCAATTTCATTCGAGGTTAAATGATCTAAACAGTCTTTGACCCACCCATCCGTATGATTATTTTCTTCTCCTTCCTGTTGATCCACCAAATTTTGTAAGTCCATATAATCATTCCATACGGGAAGGGCTGGATCCTCACAAGGCTGTCTTGAAACACTTGGAGTCTCTTTGGGATGAGTGGAGGGATCTAGGATGTCTGGACCCGGCTGCGATTCTACCTCCATGATTTCTGGACCCGTTGGAACTTGTTTACCCGGCTGAAATTCTACCTCCATGATTTCTGGACCCGTTGGAACTTGTGAACCCGGCTGTGATTCTGCCTCCATGATTTCTGGACCCGTTGGAACTTGTGGACCCGGCTGACATTCTACCTCTACGATGTCGGGACTTTTTGAAGCTTGTGGACCCGTCTGACATTCTACCTCTACGATGTCGGGACAGGTTGGAGGAGGAGAAGAAGAAGAAGAAGAGGATACTGGAAGAGGTTCTGTCTGTGAGGAGTCCGAAAGAGGTTGCCTGTTTGAACAAGTCGGGGGAAGAAGAAGAAGAAGAAGAAGCTTCTGGATTCTGAAGCGGATCTTGCACGCCAGGTAGGTTCCGGTAAGTCGACCGTTTTTTAAGAGGTAATTTTTTTTCTTCCTCCTCATCTTCAATTCGTGATGACTTCAATTTCATTCCGTTGCCGGGTCGATTTTGTTTCGGGCCATGACGACGGTTTGGTCCAGCTCCTCTTATCATCTAAGGAAGGGATGGGTAAAGGTGGCGGAGGGTTTTCTTCTTCTTTTTCTTGAAACATCATCGGCGATTGGAAAGAAATCTCCTCTTTCAATTGTTTCCAAAAAGCGAGTACGAGCACCGATCGACGAGAAAGAGACTCTTCTGGGTTGTGACGATGAGATATTGCGTTTTCGGGGGAACGACATAGTTTTGAAAAGGTCTTAGAATATATTTCTTATATTTCATCCTGTCGCTGACTTTAAAACTTCTTTCCTTCAGATTGGGGGACGATGATTCGTAATAGGCGAGAGGAGCGGCTGTGGTTTGAACAATATGAACTTCGTCCTCAGCCGTCGTTCTCACTCCAAACGTAAAATATCGTTTCGTGAGAAAAATATTCTTCCACCGAAAACTCGTGCGCGGATCCGTATATCGCCGGTCTGTTTGAATGGGCCGTCTCAAAGCTCGATCCATCCGATTCCAAGAGAAGGGAGATTCCTCTTTCGTTTGTTGCGATTCGAATAAATTTCTGTATATATTCTGAACGAGCAGGTTGGAGGATTCGACATCTTGGTTGAAAGAAACGATCGCTTGATGAGGTGGTAAATGCGGAATAAATGTCGCACAATGACACGCCAAAAAAATTT